AGGATCGTCCTCCAATGATCCTTTGTCATTATGGGGTATGAGTGTAGATTGATTTAAAAATAAAAACAGTAAACAAACACATTTACACACACAGCAAAAAAATAAATAAAAATGAAATGTAGAATAATGTATAATGAAAATAGTAATGTTTTTCATGTGTTACAAAGATGCAAAGCAAAAAAAAAGAGAAGTCAAGATAGAAATTGTGCCAACAATTTAGGGAGATTTGTCAAGGCAAAGAACACTTGCTATTTTGGGTGACAAGTGCCGAGAATGTTAAGAGACATTTTGTTGGTTTTCATGGTAAGTTGCCCCACAATAGTATCAAGGTTATTGACAAAATAAGCATTTCAGAGATTTCAGAGTGAATTAATGTTTTGTATGGTTTCCCTCCTGTCCTCCCATGGTGATATGTTAATAGTACTTTGTATGCCTGAATCTTTTTAACTTTTTTTCCTGACAAATCTATATGTAACAACAAACAAAAAAACTCAGATACCACCATAGATCTATTAGTGGGGAAGAGCCACAGTCTGTGTTCTCATACTAAGGTCTCATAATGCTTAAAAGACTAATTTTTACCTGCCGTATGCATGTGTAGGGTTGGCTTGGAGAGGAGACCTAACATTGAAACTCATTTGGAAATATAAGAATCCTGGGAACACCCTGCCCCATTATTTATTTATTTGATGTTGTTTCACTTGTGTAGCAGTGAACTGTACTCTGTGCCTTTCTACTGCATTGAAAGGGTGTCACTCTAAAGCAATGTTTTTTTTTAAAGGACCACTATAGTGCCAGGAAAACATACTCTTTTTCCTGGCACTATAGTGCCCTGAGGGTGCCCCCACCCTCAAGGTCCCCCTCCCGCTGGGCTCTGGAGAGAGGAAGGGGTTAAAATCTTACCTTTCTTTACTGCCGGGCGGGGAGCTTTCCTCCTCCTCTCCTCCTTCCTAGCGACGTCATCGGCTGAATGCGCATGCGCGGCAGGAGCCGCGCGCATTCATCCAGTTCATAGGAAAGCAATTACAATGCTTTCCTATGGACACTGGCGTCTTCTCACTGTGATTTTTACAGTGAGAAGCATGCAAGCGCCTCTAGCGGCTGTCAATGAGACAGCCTCTAGAGGCTGAATTAACCCTCAGTGTAAACCTAGCAGTTTCTCTGAAACTGCTGTGTTTATAAAAAAAAAAAAAGGTTAACCCTAGCCAGACCAGGCACCCAGACCACTTCATTAAGCTGAAGTGGTCTGGGTGTCTATAGTGGTCCTTTAAGGAACACCCCAAGCACTGTAAGCACTAAACAGTGCTTTAATGGTTATAGGAGCTGCAGCATAATGCCTGCTCATTGGTTGAAAGAATCAGCTGAGTACTCTCTCAGCCAATAAGCTAAACCCTGCAAACAGTTTGCCTATTTACTTGGCAGCTTTACAACATATTGACTGGCATAAACTCTTTAGTTAAAAAAAAACAAAAAACACTTAGGATTAAAGGAATATATTCAAACAAATTTTAAAAGGGTACATTTCTTAGTATGTACCAGTGGGTAATAAATATAAAAGCACCACATAGAAACTAATGTGGCTTAGTGGGAAAGTAAACCAAGAGATTAAGTATAAGAAAATGTCCTTGCGGTCTGTTATATATCGTCCTCACTAAACGCACTACACGCCCTCTCCAAATAAGGATACAAGAACATGTTAGGAATGTGAGAAATGGGTTTATAAAACATAATGTATCGCTCCATTTCAAAAATTTTCACAACAGTGACCTTAAGCAAATACAATTTGTTGGCATCCAAAAAGTAGTCACAGACTGGAGGGGTGATGATTTAGTGAGAAGAATGAGGCAAACATAAATGAAATGGATATTCCAATTAGATACCCTACACCCAAAGGGTTTAAACAATGATTTTGAACTCTGCAACTTTTTATGATATGCGGATAGTCAATATTTAATAAGAGGCTCTATTTTCTATGTTATTCTACTTTTATTTTTATTCATGTATTGTTATATGATTTAAATATTTTTAATGAATTTTTTAAGTATATATTTTAATTTCTGTTTGCAACATTCCTGTCACTTTAAGTATTTAGAGGTGGTATAACACACTTCTGGACCTATATGTAATACCTTCAGACAGTATTGGGCTATATAATTGCATATCTTACTCAAATTGTGCTATGATTGTTATATGTATTAACTGATGCACTAATAAGAAAATTACTATTATTATTATTTTTATTTATATTTCTTTATTATGGAGCAAGTATTTTTGAGCATGATCTACATTAATATGCAGATATTGAAATGTGCCATATTGATACTTCCTTCTTTTTTCTGTTTCCGTATAATATAATACACTCATGGATGGAAACAAACTTTGCCCGTTATATCAATTGACTTGACTGGCGGTTGCCAGTACTTAATATGATGATCGAGACGGACCGGAAGTGACGTTGTGGCTACTCCGATACGTCACTTCCGCACACACGAAAACCATCAACCGATGCACCGGAAACTTTTTCCTTATATCGGTGGCAGGAAGCATCAATTGAAGATTACAAGCACCAATCAGGACGGGACTTCCGGTTATATAACCAAGAAGAGAATGAACAGCAGGAATCCGATTGATAAAGCCTTTTATGATAAGGTGAAACGTGTCTCGGGCAGCCAGGACTTTTAAATAGACCATTATTGGATGGTATTTTATTTGTGTATTTTATATTTTTTATGAATAAATTGCTTTTATTTTCTACTGAGTTCTACGAGCTGCAGCATCCTTTCCTGCTTTTCAAGAAGAGTTGTGCCCTCTTAAAGGCACAGTGCCAAGTATACTGAGAGCCCAGTTATTTTTGGTTCTCTATCAGGTGAGCAAAATTTGCACCATTCTTTATTGTGATGCATATATTATAAGGATAACGCACCAGGATCTTGTTACACTCTCTTTTCTTCTTTCTGAGTACCTGTATGTCAATCTAGAAGAAGTCTGGTATTCTCTTTAAATACCCCTGCGTTTGTGACTTGAGCCTATCCCCCGTGACACGCGAGTGGGGGCTATTAAGCTAAACGTTCCCCTCAGCCCATGAGCATTGGATTGGCTGAGATAATCAATTAGTGCAAGAGTTTTCTCCATAAAATGAATTGGATACAAACCAATAATTCATTGAGCTGTACTGAGGTCTAGGAGAAGAAAAAAACCACACTAAACCCCAATACTTCACTAAGCATTTGTAAAAAAAAAAGGAAAAAAAAAGACCCCCACTCCTATTAAAAGGAGCACTGTGCAGCACATCTGAGTGACTGCCACTAGAGGTGTTACTAGGCAGCAATGTAAAGACATGCACCAGAACCAATACTTTAAGCTTTTGTGATTCTGGTGACTATAGTGTCCCTTCAGATGTTTTGAGATGGTATCATTTCAGATGGTTGAATAATTCTAAAGTGTCCTGGATCCATCAGCAGACCTGATTTGGGACACTGGTTTGGTTTGTTGCCTCTCTTGTGATTGTGGCACTACTGCCTTAGTGCGTTTGTACACCCACACCTATCAATGACATGCTTCCAAGTCAACACCGTTCATACCAGTTTCACTACCTTGTTGGTGAAAATCCAGTCTTGCCAGATAAAGTCATTGTTATGAGTAAAATGTATTAATATTATATTAATATTATTATTTAATAGGAGTGGGGGTCTTTTCTTTTTTTTTTTTTTTTTTTACAAATGCTTAGTTATATTTCCTATAATTTAAATTATATTGTTGTTTCAAACGCAAACCTTTCTGTATGAAGGTACTTGGTGCAGACAGCAAGAAACTCTGTAATTCTCGGTTTGGTGACCAATCATAAATGCAGAAGGATGTTTAAATGCAGCTTTTGCTTTACTGCCCTCTAGTGGCTTTATTATTGCACTTCTTTCTTTAGCCATTGGTGCTTAAAATTACCTACCAGGGTTTATTCACTAAAGTCCGATACTCCAACGGAATTCAAAGTTGTAGGCAAAAATCATTGAGCTGGAAAAAGAGTGTGTTGAAGACTTTTTCTGCTTGGCTAGCTTTTTCTTATCACTTTTTCATAATTCCCAATTTAATGAATAAACCATTGAAAAATATAAATATACAACTATTGTTTATATAAGAAAACTCTAATTATCCTGTTTGTACTTAGGTTTTATGGCACCGCTGGGGTGGAAATGTATTTTTGCACTGCACTTAGTGTAGAATCTTTTTTTGTCTCACCATTCAACCTGCAAATCACCTCTTATTAGCGATATTACACAAACATGCTCACATTCATATACATACAGGGTTATTCACTAAAATGAGAATTCAAAGTGAATTAAAAATTTACGGTTAGGGTAGCTGAAACAAAAACAAAATAGTGTAAAGCGCTTGAGAATTCCAAAATTATAAATAGTACAGAAATCCACACAATTACAGTGGCACTGACCAAAAGTGACAAACACACGACACACAAAGTTAGTATACCAATAATCATTGCACGTAAATTGTGTAAAACATAGAATCTTTAAATGTTGTTCTGCAAATAATAAATAGATAGATATAGTGCAGACCATCTGGTTAAATGTATATGTACTCTGAACAAAATTATAAACGCAACACTTTTGTTTTTGCCCCCATTTTTCATGAGCTGAACTCAAAGATCTAAGACTTTTTCTATGTACACAAAAGGCCTATTTCTCTCCATATTGCTCACAAATCTGTCTAAATTTGTGTTAGTGAGCACTTCTCCTTTGCCGAGATAATCCATCCACCTCACAGGTGTAGCATATCAAGATGCTGATTAGACAGTATGATTATTGCACCAGTGTGCTTTAGGCTGGCCACAATAAAAAGCCGCTCTAAAATGTGCACGTTTAAATAAAAATCTGATATTTGAGAGAAATAGGGCTTTTGTGTACAGAAAAAGTCTCAGATCTTTGAGTTCAGCTCATGAAAAATGAGGGCAAAAACGAAAGTTGTGTTTATAATTTTGTTCAGTGTATGTGTGTGTGTGTGTGTGTGTGTGTGTGTATATATATATATATATATATATATATATATATATATATATATATACACACACACACACACGATATAAAATACAGGGAGTGTCTGGAATTAAACTCACATTTAACAGAGCTTAATCACCACTGGCTCTGGGTTTGAAAAATGCAGCTTGAGAGGGATACTTCCCACAACAGTATAATTAGACAAGATAGATATTCTCAACTCTTGGGTATGTTTACCCAGACAGGTTCTTCTAAATAAGTAGGATACAAGCAGTGAAGCCGGGACCCTAATTGGACAGTATCCAAAGCTTTATTATAATTAAAAAAGGTAAAAACTCTTACTTAAATTGTGGTGGGTATTGCCAGCAAGGTACCCACAACAGAGCATGCAAAACAAGTGGATGCCAATGTTCAGCAGTCACTTCCAGGTTCTGCCACAATTCAATCACATTGGGCTTTCTGGTCCGCCTCTTAGTGAAGCATTTCAAGACTAGCTTTGCCTGCCTTCCTGGGCTAAATCCGATCCTCTTCCTGCTTCATCCACTCCAGCATGAAGTGATTCCTATGCCTGCTCTGTTCACTGAAGCAGGAAGAAATCCCTCTGCCTGCTCTTCGCAGCATCATTATGAAGATGCTTTTTGGCTATAAGGGCCCAGCGCTAACTCAAGGGAATTATAACTCTGTAGCTGATCCCAAACAGAAAGTACAAGTGTAACCAAAAGACAGGCTCTTAGACTCGGTTACTGGGCTCCTGGAAATTACTAAACACAGATACTGTTTCAAAAGGAAATGGATAATTTCTGTAAATTTAAACTGAGACCAACCTTCAGTAGCTTTTGTTGAGGTATTCCAAATAGTACATAAAAAAATAAACATAGTAAAACATAAAGGCACAATAAAATACATAAATGTCATGTAAGGGAACATTGGGGAAACTTAGAGCCCAGAGCATTTTGACTGCATTTCACACACATGCAAATATATGTAAATTAGAGTCAATACACAGAACCAATCTTAACCATCAGATAGCACTGCATCAAAGTCCATTATCTTTGTAATTCAGGTTTCTTAAATTGTTATATGGTTTCAATGTTATATTTCACCATGTGTTGGCATGTAGTTCACTAACTTAAAAAAATAATGAGTAAAATGAATCATGTTACATTCCAGGCTGGTGATTAATCTCATTTGATGAGGCATTATAGATACTGAATCTGAATACTATGCATCAAAAAATATAAAGGCCTGCAACAAATATCAACAACAAGGGATCAGCACTAAGCATGTGCACATGTGACATAATTTTTTCTAATTTCCAAGGCCTTTCTATGACCAGCGGCAAGTGCGGTAGTGTTATGAAAGTTTGCTTATATCAGTGCAAGAGACACAGTGAGCATATTTGGAAGAAATACAATTTTGAAAACTGATACTTGTAAAAATTGATATAACATTATTAAATAATGAAGTCATGAATCTTTTACAAAACGAATTATATACACATTGTGCAGAGGCGGCTCTAGATTTTGTGAGGCCTTAGGCAAAACTCAAAAATGAGGCCCCACTAAGTCTCACCAAAGTGAAAATAATAGAGTTGCAATACATGCAGACTGTCACATATACACATTGATGCACTGTTTACCTGTGTGTGTGTCTGACAGAGAGTATCATTGTGTGTGTGAATGTATGAATCTGTGAGTATGTTTGAGTTTTTATCTAGGACCTAAAGAGATGGGTTTTAAGGCACTTCTTAAAAGATGCAAGACTGGGGGCGAGTCTGATAGGGGTAGGCAGGCAATTCCATAGGAAGGGAGCCGCCCACGAGAAGTCCTGCAAGCATGAGTTGGCCGTACGGGTGCGAGCAACAGACAGGAGAAGGTCACGGGGCAGAGCGAGAGACAGAGAAGGGGCATACCTATGGATCTGTGAAGAGATACGAGGGGCTAGAATTGTTCAGTGCTTTATAGGTATGGGTTAGCACTATGAATTTACTTCTATAGTATTCTGGAAGCCAATGTAAGGACTAACAGAGGGATGAGGTGTGAGAGGACCGACTAGAGAGGAAATTCGGTCTGGTGGCAGCATTCATTACAGACTGTAACAGGGCAATACAGCTTTTGGGAAGACCAATTAGGAGAGGGTTACAATAATCCATGCGGGAAATTACTAGAGTATAGACAAGCTCCTTGGTAGCATCTTGCGTAAGAAATGAGCGGATGCGGGCTATGTTTTTAAGATGGAATCTACAGGATTTGGCAACATACTGGATGTAAGGCTCAAAGGTGAGGCCAGAATCAAGTATGACGCCAAGACAGCGCGCTTGCATGGATGGACTTATGTGGATACCACTAACTTGAAGGGAGAGCGAAAGAGGAGGGTCAGTATTAGGAGGAGGAAAGACAAGAAATTCAGTTTTAGAGAGATTAAGTTTTAGAAAGTGGGAGGACATCCAGTCACAGATGGAAGAAAGGCAAGCAGTGACACGTTGCAGAACGGCAGGGGAGAGGTCCGGGGAGGAGAGATATGTCTGGGTGTCATCAGCATTCAGGTGGTAGTGGAATCCAAAAGAGGTAATAACTTTGCCAAGAGAGGCAGTTTAAAGAGAAAATGGAACTCCACCGAGACAGGACAAGTGGAGGAGGTCTCAGGACAAGGGGACTCCAACCGAGACAGGATAAGGGGAGGAGATATAATTAGAAAAAGAGACACTGAATGAGTGTTGGGAGAGATAAGAGGAAAACCATGAGAGGATAGAGTCACAGAGACCGAGTGATTGAAGAGTTTGAAGAAGGAGAGCATGATCAATGGTGTCAAAGACAGCAGAGAGGTTAAGAAGAATTAGTATAGAGTAGTGGCCTTTGGATTTAGCTGCAATTAGGTCATTAGTAACATTGATAAGAGCGGTCTCAGCAGAGTGGAGAGGGCGGAAGCCAGATTGAAGAGGGTCAAGGAGAGAGTTAGAATTGAGGAAGTGAATCACAAGACTTTCCAGAAGCTATAAGGAAAAAGGGAGCAGGGATATGGGACGATAGAGGGGGAGAACGGGTCAAGAGATGTTTTTTTCCGCATAGGAACTACAGTGGCATGTTTAAGGTCAGCAGGGACAATGCCAGAATAGAGAGAGCAGTTGAAGATGTGTGTTAAGGAAGGCACAAGACAAGGGGAGAGGGATCTGATAAGGTGAGATGGGACAGGATCGAGTGGGCAAGTGGTGGGGGGGAGAGGAAAGAAGAAGCGCAGCCCCCTCTTGTTCAGTAGCCAGGGAGAAAGTCTGAAGGGTAGGAAAGGCATGATCTACGTGTGGTTGAGAAAGAGAACAGCAAGGTGGGGAGAATTCTTTCTTTAGCTGTTCAATCTTGTCAGTAAAGTAGCATGCAAGCTATCGGCTGTAAGGTTAGTTTGGCGGGTGGACACAGCAGGGCGAAGAAGAGAGTTAAAGGTGTCAAAGAGATGCCTGCGACTGCGGGAGCATGAACTAATGAGAGAGGAAAAGTATGACTGTTTGGCGAGGGCAAGGGCTGCACTGTATGAACACAATATGAATCTATAATGGAGAAAGTCTGACTGGGTGCGAGACTTCCTCCAGGAGTGTTCAGCACAACGGGAGCATCTTTGCAGGTAGCGTGTTGATTTAGTATGCCACGGTTGGGGCTGCAGCTTTCAAGGCAGAGGTGAGGGTAGTGTTATATGTGGAGATGGCCAATGAGGGACAGGAGAGGGAAGTGATGGATAGCAGTTGTGAATCAATATCAGCTAACAGCTGCTGGAGGTCAATAGAAATAACGTTCCTCCTGAGTTGAGGGGGGTTAGGCTGTGGTTGTTGGGTGAGAGGGTACTCGAGATCAAACAATAATAGGTGGTAATCAGAACGAGGAAATGGAGTGTTGCAGCTATTAGATACTGTACATGAATAAGAGAAAATTATGTTGAGGGTATTGCCAGCTACATGGGTGGGAGAATTACCTCACTGTTTACCTGTATATGTGCCTGTGGGAGGAAGAAATTGAAAGTAGCTTAGAGGTTGCTGAGGTCAAAGGTGGGTTAATGGGAATATTGAAGTCTCCAAGAATTAGGAATGGAATATTAGAAGAGAGGAAATAGGGTAGCCAGACAGCAAAGTGGTCAAGGAAGAGGAGAGGGGAACCAGGAGGGCCGTACATAACAGCAATGTTAGCAGAGAAGGGTTTGAAAAGGCAAATCAAATGAATTTCAAATGCTGGGAAAGAGAGTAAAGGGGGGTGGGTAGAGGTTTGAAGGAGCAGTGCGGTGAGAGAAGAAAGAATACACCACCACCTTTACATTCAGAGTGTCTTTGCTTGAAGACCACCAAAGGACAAAGATGTAGGGGTAGCAGTGTCAGAGGGGGAAAGCCATGTTTCTGTTAAGGCTAATAAATCTGGGGAACGAGAGATAAAGAGGTCGTGGACAGCAGTGGATTTTGTAATATTGCAAACAAAGCATTCATTCCAGAGGGCAGTATTGAAGGAGGATTTAGAGGAAGAGTAACATGAGATGGGTATGAGGTTAGTGTGGTTCCTTAAGTTAGTAGGTGGTGGGTTTGCCGAGATGTGACCGGGGTTTGGAGAGACATCACCAGCAGCTAGGAGCAGAAGGATAGAAAGGAAGTGAAGGTGGGAGTAGGATTTGAAAGTTTAGTTGGAGGGTATGTATATAGAGGATTTGGGAGGAGTTGAAGGAGATAGGCTAGAAAGGTATATGTAGAGTGCATGGGATGAATAGAGAGGGGGAGGGAGTAAAGTGGAAGTAATGAAGATGGTGTTGCCAGGGACAGGTGAGCAGAAGGATATGGATATTTTAGAAATGAGAGAAGTTACTATGAAAGTGAAAAATAGAAGGGAGAACATTATTTAAAGAACATATGTTTTGTTATATAGATATGAAGATTATACATTTGCACATATATAATCATAGATATATATATATACACACATATACCTATGAGTGTTTAAACCATGGTTAAGGATTTTCGGGTGAGGAGAGGTTTAGTGATTTGATTGGTGTAAAAATCACCAAAACATTGGTGAAAACCAGCTGATCTGCACTATCTATAATATCTATATAACATA